GTGAATATAAAAAAAGGCGTTTTGCCAGTTCACTGCAGGGCAGGTCCTATTTTTTAACAACCGCTCTTTTGTTGCTGTATAGCATTCTGAAACAATCTTATAACTTCCTGGGAAGCACATAGTGCAAGTAGCCATTTTATGCGCGCTAAAACACAAACATATACTGACAACTAGTACTAAAATCTACTCCATAGAGGAGTCATTTCTCACATTCACACATTACTGTTGAATACTAAGCCCATTCAAATTTATTTATTCAAAAGCTTTTGCAAAGAGATGCATTAATCTAGAGCAGAGCAGAGGAAAATACTGTTACCACACAGAACTAATTAAAAAGGATGAAACCCCCCCCCATACCACATGAGACATCACTTACCGGTTCATTAGGATGACAAACAAAACTGTCAGAGATTGGGGCGCCTCGAATGTTCAAGGTCATGATCCTGGGCAAGCTCAAGGTCAGTGGCTGCTCTATGTGCACGAAATAGTTATCTGTGACCCCGAATGAGTGAGCATAGCCGATGTTCATCTTCCAGCGACTGGGGATCCTTGCTACAACTTCTGCCCCGTGGAACGGATCTGAAAACCCCCCCCAAAAACTCAAGGGTTTGATTATGTGTCACGACACAGTGGGATTGGGCGTTCATCAATTTTTGGGCATATTATGAAGTTATTGGTATCATATTCAAGCTTGTTCATTTTTCTTGTCATACTACTATGCAAGAATGATGACAATTAAGATGATGAACTTTTTTCATAGTGTCGTATATAATAAAAATACTCAAGTCTCTGCCATTTTTTGTTTACTTTATTATCGTGCTTACGACTACAACAACGTTGGTGATGATGATGATGATGATGATGATGATGATGATGATGATGATGATGATGATGATAATATATATATATTTATTTTGGAAATACAACAAGGTCTTAACTGTTTTAATACCTTCTTTATACAATGATGATGATGATAATGATGATGATGATGATGATTTTTTGTTTTGTTTCCTTAATGGGCCTGGTGAACTCCATGAATAAATCTTTGAGCGAGAGCGAGGCTCTTTTTTGGCTTCATTGTCAATATGCTTAGTGGCACCTCCACTCGTCCAAATAACTCCCTTCCTTCGAATTGCCATTGTTCCTGGACATTCAAACATATGTTTGACATCCTCCTTTTCATGGCCGCATCTTCAGCAACGTGGGCTTAGCTCTTTTTTTACAAAGTTCTTATACCATCTTAGGCTCAAATGATGGTTAAACCGCAGTCTCGCTAGCTCAACCTGGTCCCAGCGACTTGTGATATTTTGTTCCCGCTTATAGGAGTACCCAGACTACACATCTTCCAGGTGCTGGTACTTAGCTCTGCAGGGTGGGTCTCTGATTTCCCTCTTGATCATTGGTGATGATGATGATGATGATGATGATGATGATGATGATGATGATGATAATGATGATGATGATGATGATGATGATGATGATGATGATGATGATGAAGTTGATGATGATGATGATGATGATGATTATGATGATGATTATGATGATGATGATGACAATGATGATAGCAAAATTTAGGTTATTACGAGGAGGAGAAACAGGC